TCAAATTCCATATGATATCCCTGTGCTTGACAATATCTTTAATTCTATGACGATACTTAATCAAACGCTGATAACAACACATTCATTGGCATAGCTAATTATTATTAATTCATGGATGTGAACTAAATTCTAATATACCCCTTTATCTGATAATTTATGTACAAGGAAATATCATTACTATCATCATGGCTCAGAACTGTTACATCTTTAAATTTTGGTACTGTCATTATACTTCCAGTCTAAAAAAAAAAAAAAAAAAAATCTGGAAGTTTTTCAGATTTTATATATGCGTAAAGAAGCGTTTTTTTTTTAAATTATATTTTTATTTATTTACACACACATACACGTTTCAAAAGCATTTGGGCTAAAAATATTTAAAAACATCATATATTTAGAATTTTCGATAGATACTCTCGCACGCTGGAAATAAAAAAGTTTTATTGCCGTATAGTGTTGCCACTGCTCGCTTTGAAATCGTTGAGCTTTTTAATCAAAAATTCGTTAAACTTTTAGGAAATATGAAACAGACAATAAAACAAAATCAAAATTCGAAATTCGGGCTTCCAAGTGCCCATATTCGGGTGGAGGACTATGTTATTCAAAATTTGATGGATGTCTCTAGGTACTGTTATTTTTAACAAAGCAAAAACATACGCACATTCATGCAGATACTTCATTATTTAATTTTATTAAATATAATACAGTGCGATAATATTTGGTGCCACCAATTTGAAAAATGATTTGACTCGTAATGCTGTTTCGAGACTAATAGCTTTTCTGGGCTAACGCTCCTTTGAGCTAAAAAGAAGGAATCTTACCATCGCCAGTACTTTAGTATTGAGAAGTTCTAAGAAACAGGATAAAACAAGGGAAAATTTTTAGAAGTAAAATTTAGTAAATTCTGAGCAAAAGTTGTTCTGATCCTAGAATACGGTACACAAGAGATTTCGCGACATTCGCGAGGCGATGAATATTACATTCTGTATCAGCGGTCCGGGAGAAGGCTACAACTCTTCTTCCTTTCATAGGAGGCAAAGGTGGCCCACCTACTAGGAAGCTTCCATAATAAAGAGACCACCAGCTCCGGCCATAGTAGTGGCGAAGCCGAAGCTGCAGTGCAATCAAATTAAATAGATTAGCTTAAAATTCTTGTAATAATTTTGTTTACTAGTGAATTTCATAAAAATTAATTCTAACATCTTTCGCATGAAGTAGGTTATCGTATAAGTGATACGTTAATGAAACTGTATGTGAAGCGAACGTCATTTTTATTTCAGGGCATTTTCCCCTAAAAAGGCTTAGGGTTTCTTTTTTTTTCGGGTAAACAGAAATGGGTTACAATATTGGTTGTGGAAGATAGAACGCTTAAAAGTATGCATAAAATCAGGTTAGGGAATAAAAAGTTTTACGATTAAATATTTTACAGAATGTTTAACATGAGAAAATTGTATAATTATAAGTAAATTTAAATGCAAAAAATGAATGAAATGCTGCACTGTGTGAAGAAAATATAATTCGCTAAAACTTCCCTTACATTAATAAACTTCCCTTAGGGACATGCAAACAATATGAAATTAGATAAGCCTTGAGTATATTTTGTCATTTTATTAAAACTTGTTTATGACATAATCCTTCGCTATATTGTCCCCAAAATTATTGAAGTCTTTATTATCTATAGAATATACATATTTTTTTTTTCTATTCTGCAGTTATCAATGCATGAAGAAGTATTTCAATAACTTATCTTTAATAGCTTATCGTAATTACTAAGAGGGAAAAAACTTCCACTTTATGAAACAGTTCTAAGAAATATTGCCCTTCAATCAAAATTTGGTAGTCTTAAAATTATCTTAAAGTATCACCTTTTTCGTATACCTTAATTAAGATTAAAAATGTGTTTCGTATTCTAAATACAATTTTTATGTATAAAGTATCAAATGAAAACTTATAACTTTACTATTGAAAAAAAAAAGAACTTTATAAAAAGCATTTTTCGCACCCCGGTTTCACTTTTCGGTAGAAAAAAACAGGAAGTATTTTCGAGTATAATTAGCGACAATAGCCAACCCAAGGATGGGCGTACTAGATATGTGCCTGCGTGCATGTAAATTTATGTTCTTTATATTTAACCATCTTTTCACTTACCATGATTAAAAATGTAAATAACGGCAACATAGATTTTTCCCCTCATAAAATTTCTTGTTTTTAATAAAATGCTTCTTATCTTAATATTTATGAACAGAAAGAAGAATACACATGAGCCGCAAAACTAGGTAAACACGGTGTTTTTTTTTTTTTTTATTTTTTTTTTTTTTATTTTTTAAGTTTTGTTTTGTTAATTTTACAAAGCTTCCAATGAGTTATTAACATTTCGTGAAAGTGCAAAAATTTGAAAGCATCAAAAAACACTTTTTTTAGGTATTTGAAAAGCATCTTACTTCTGATGCCTCTTTCGGGAAGAATTCAGTATTTCTACAACTTTTTTAAAAAAGTATTTTATTTTGAAATAAGTTAAAATTTATTATTACAAATGCATAATTTTCCATCCTCATTGCGGGCTTGTATATTTCTTGGAAGAATTAAAAATAACATTATTTAAATGATCGGCTTTTCAGAATTCATGAAATAAAATTTGATGTAAAACTTGACTTGCATGCTTGAATATATAAGCACATGTCTTGTTATTTATTCCAATATATGTTTGAAAATAAACGTCGAAAATGGAAAGAGTATTAAAAAAGTATGCTTATTTACATAACAATTAAACAAAGGCCTTCATTATTGAATAAAACAAATTATTGCTGATTTGTATCTATTCGAACATAAGCTCCTCAATATATAAATAAAATAAACGCATTTCTACATATTAAAATTAATTTAATTTTGCTTGCCTTTTTTTCTTCGTCTTTTTGGAAACATGCTTAATACATTAGCACTTTACCAATTAATATTTTATTACACTTTAAACGATGTCTTGGCAGATCGGCTTGTAAACATGATTTCCCTTGTGAGATGATGCAAGTTCAAGAGACAAAGTTCCATATTCCAAATGATTAATAAATGTTCGAAATAAAAAATAGCTTAAATAACCTTTCTCTGTTGCATCCAAACATTTACTGAATTTTCAATAATTTCTTTACAATTTTGCATATTTGATAAATGCTTCAAATTTTAGTTCTAGAGCATATAAATAATTAAATGGAATATTTTTATTTTAAATGAAACGAATGCTTTCTTCATTACAGGCAGAAGAAGAAGTCCGTGCCCTGCAAAAAAAGATCCAACAGATTGAAAATGATTTGGACCAAGTTCAAGAACAATTGGCCCAAGCAAACAATAAACTCGAAGAAAAGGACAAAGCTCTGGCCACTGTAAGTATCTTCGTCAGGCATATTAGAGATTTTTGTGATTGAGCTGCTGGTCTAAATATTTTGTATAATGAAAATTCAACTGCTTTCAGAAGCTCTTATGTGATGTTTCGTACACTCACGTCTTCAGTTCGATAGCCATGACTAATTTCCAGATTTTTCTTGTGAACTAATCATTATGTTTGTTAACTGTTAGATTTTTTTTGTTTGTTTGTTTTTGTTTAAAGTTCGTCTTGATAAATTAGAAAGTAAATATTCTTCGATGGAGGTGAGGTAAGGTCAGTGGACCTACGGTGGCTAGGCACTACGGTGTTGCACCATTCTACTCAACAGAATCTTTCTGAATTTCTGCTCGCAGAAGGGCAGAATCTTTTTCATCACCGTAAAAAATTAACATTTATAAAGTTTTATTTTATTTAAATTTCTCATATAAACTATTTAGACATCAATTTAACTAAATAGACATCAATTTAACTAAATTAATTTAATATTATATTCTGATTGTATGCACTTTAAACTAACCCTGAATGCTTCAAACTTGTTTCATTTACTGTAAAAATGTTTAATATGTAAAATAGAAATTTCTTAATTTTTTTCACTGAAGTTTTTTACAATATCTACTCTTGTAATTTCTTTTGCTACTTACTTTTAATTCTTCTGGTGAACAAAATTGCAAGTCTTACTCCTGTTTCTTAGCATAAATAATAATTTTACTCAGTAATTCAAATACTTAATTAATATATCAAAGCAAATGACCAAGCAAAATGACTACTGGCGAGGATAGTTCATAGAAGTGTACTTTTAGTATACTTTAATGGCGTAAAATGATCAGACGAAAAATCTTTTCTAATAGCTAGATGATGCATTAAGAATAAATATCAGCGTTATATATGGTTCTAGAGCTAAAACGGAGAGTACATCATAGGCTCACAAAACAGTGCACTTTCTTAACTCTTATATTCGTATACAAAATTAACATTTAAAAAAATATTGAATCCAATTCTAGTTAGTCTATTATTCACTAATATTTAGTCAATTTAAAAATAACTTTAGAATATCAGCATATTAAGCATGTGTGAGGTTAACTAACCAGAAAACTCACCTCCTATTTTAGAAAACATTTTCAAAATTGCAGTCATTTTCTATGTAACCGATATGCTACGGTTTACATCCGAGCTAATGCTGTAGTTTGAATATTAATGTCCCTAAAATTCAGTTTTTGCGATGTTCAGTAGTTCAAAACTATTATCTAACATAAAATATTTGGTGTCGTATCTTTTAGTTTGTATAAAATAATGTACCAACTTATTTTTGTTAAATTGTAAATTAAAGAGGGAAAAAAGGAGACTATCAGGATATTCGCGAAGCTCTAGGAAGACTATACAAATTGCTTTACGTCACAAATAGGAAGTGCCTTTGCTTTTGAAACAAAGCGAAATCTATTTGTGATCCTTTTCAACTCTCTTCTAATGTTCTAAAGAGGACAGAACGCTCCTTCGCAGTACAGAAATAGCCGATTCCATATTTGGAAGCGATCACTTGTACAAGCTTCAGCGCCACCTATAGACATTCCACGGAACTTAGCACATTCGATTTGGCATCATTGTGGAAAGTGTTAGTTCCTTGTCGTCTGCAAGGTTTGTTGTGTAGCAATGGTCTGAGTTGTTGTTTGGATGTAAGCATTCAGTTTTGTCAGATTAAATGCTTAGAAAATGACTTCTTGCATTTATATAGATTTTAAAAGTTACAGAAAAAAACTTTTCTGCACTACTCGGTTAAGGTGATGAGGACTTAAATCTTCTTGATCAATCATGTGAGTAGAGAGTGACAGATTGTTATCAACAACATACTGTAGTTTTCCTCAAATCTACGAAAATGAAGGATCCTGATCATCGGCGTCTTCGAAATAGAAATATTCCATCCAGAAATATTAATCAGTCAGAAATTCTAGATCGAACAGCTGATGGTGCTGAAGATAATCATCAAGTCACTGAATCGTTCAATGAAAATGATTCTGAAAATGAAGAGTGGGCTAGGCTTAGATGCTCAAGCGTTCAAACTGAAGTCATTGCTGAAAGAAACAGGCGAAACAGGCAACGTAGTGCTGGTTATCCAGGCTTGGCTTTTGGAGCGTCTATATTTTCTTCTGGGACCATGATGAAATTCAGCGTTATATCAAATGAATTGCATAACATCATGAATGTTCAGCTCAAAAGGGTATATAACTTCACATTTCTTTGAATATTTATAAAATTTATTTGTGGAATTATAATGCTGTTAATTAAAAACTTCATGCTAGGAAATTTTGGTACCCCCCCTTTTTTTTTCTCAAATTCCAAGTAGCAACTATTAATCCAGAAATTTTTTTAAATTTATTTTAATAATTTACATAAGATGAGTTATGCTTAACTGGATGATAAATAAATCTTTTCTTGTTTTTTAATATTATTAAATAAACTTGTTTACTTGGGAGCTTTTGAGAGGAATAATTTCAGGTAGTTTGAAAGAAAAAAAATATATAAATAGTTTAAAAATATTTAATTTTAGGTAGTTAGTTCGAAAGGGAAAAAAGCAATATTGCATTAGCTGTGTATATGCAATTTGACTTTTAGTTTTTCATTTTATATGTTGTTATCATAATGAAAGGCTCTTTCAAAACATCTGTGAAAAGTATTATGGCGTAATTCTCTCCAAACATTACTTTTAAAACTAAAAAACTAATTTTATAGATATGTTGTGCACATAACTTCATCACATGTTAAATGATAAAATTTATGAAAATTGCATGTCATTAGAATATGTGAGCATAAAAAGCTTTTTCCTTTTATTGAAAATGACAGTTGCTGCCATGAAAAAAATTGAATGAATCTTAGTGTTATATGCCTTGTTATATTTTCATGAAAGTATGCTTTTTTACCTTAAAATTTTTTTCATATTTTTTACTTTAATATTAGTAAAACAATTTCATAGCCAAAAAAAATGAAGCTGTATGTTTAGAAAATTAAATTATTTCATACGTCATATTAGGCAAAAAATCTTACTAGCTAACAAACCGGTGTGTGACTTAATGCATAAATGTGAAAAAATATTCAATTTTTTAATATAAAATTATATTTTGTAGGCTGAAGGTGAAGTTGCTGCCCTAAACAGGCGTATCCAGCTGATTGAAGAAGACTTGGAACGATCTGAAGAACGTTTAAAAATCGCCACTGCCAAGTTAGAAGAAGCATCCCAAAGTGCTGATGAGAGTGAACGGTATGTTTTATATGCATTTATCTATGCTTATATGCCCTACAAATTATGAACCTTGCTTTTAAATCATATAATTTTAAAATGCAAGAATGATATTTATATAAGGCTTTGTTTCCATAGATAGATTATAGCAAAAATTTACAATTCTGTAAAATATAATCAATGAAAAGTTAGGAATAACTGATAGGTACTCTTCTGTTACTGGACCGTATTTAGAAATTGTATGGATGTAAGTGTTTGGGTATGCATGTATTTTACATGTATGTACATATGTATATGTGTGTATAACCCTGCTTAACCCAGGAGTAACGTTCCATCAAAGTAGAGCATTATACAAAATAGCATTAAAAGAGGTCATCTTGTAACGTAAGTAGAGGAAAACGGGTATAAAATTTTTTTAAAAAAGAAAGGTCAAGTGTTTTGTTATTAAAGTTCATTAAATATGTTTATTTTTTTTTTTACAATACAAAATAAAAACTTATTTCTTACAAATACTGAAACGTAACAAATGAATATATGGAACTAAATAAAATTGTAAGTATTTATTTATATTTTAGATCATTTGGACTTTTCTGCATTTCCAATTTTCTTTTTCTTACTTTTTTTTTAAATCAAGAAGGTATCGAATATCATTTACATTTTTCGTATCGCATATCATTTACATTTTTCTTTGGTGCTTCATAAGAAGTTGTTGATAAGGGAACAAGGCATCCGTTACACCCTATCTTGTCTTTGAACTCTATCAAAATCTGTATTATTTTCTATAATAGTCCATAATTTCCATTATGGAAGCTGAACTGGCCATTGAAAGTTCTTTTTGCTCTTTTCCAGACTCGCTATTTTTAATATTTTGTGTTCTTTTGATCTGCTAATTCCTTAAACTCATCATTAGAAAGTATTTCTCCCATTTCTTACAAAATTCTTAGAAGAAACCTGTTTTTTTTCGCTAATCCCACTATTTCATTCATATTAACAGTAGAATCTCTTACTAATCTTTGAAATATTTATCCGTTGCTTCATTCCAAGAAACATTTATGTTTTCTATAGCATCCATGGTATTATAATTCCTGCCAAAATCTCTTGTTGAATGTTTATCGTTTCCATCTGTTTTTTTTTTTTTTTTTTTTCTTTCAAATATTTGTCTAAATGTTCGCCACAGGTAATAAGCTTTAAAATTTGATATAACACCTTGATTCATTAATTGGATCAATGCAGTTGTGTTAGGTAGCAAGAAAACCACTTCGACTCGAATGCATGTTATTATGTCAGATAAATTCATTGGCTATCCATTAAAAGCAGCACTTTGAGTTCAAGTTTTTTTATTTTGCAATAGCATTAAAGAGATGGTCAAAAATGTTCAATGAACCAAGTCTGGAAAATTTTTGTAGTTATCCATGTTTTTTTTATTAGACTCCCAAATTACAGGTAAAGCTGATTTTGATATTCCTTCCATCCCTCTTGGGTTTATGAATGATGAACAAGAAGTGATTTTAATTTGAAGTCTTCATTGATGTTAATGCTTCAAAAGATTGCTTAACACTTCTCCTGGGTACTAACGTCCACCCAGGAGAAGTGTTAAGCAATCTTTTTCAGCTTTAAATACTGGTATATAGTGGAATTCTTCATGGCTTAGCAATATAATGTTTTGGCATCCTTTTCCAAAATAGCCATTAAAAACTAATTCTGGAGGATAGTTTTTTCATTCAGTTATTGTTCTTTATGTCACTGGGAATTCAGCCACTGCTTTTATATCTCCACTTACTGCTTCTCTTGTAATCTGTATGCTATGAAGATTATTTCGATGCTTAAACCTATTAAGCCATCTTTGACTTGCAACGAAAGTTTCGGTTTTGTCACCTGTTTCAATCTGAATGTGATTAAAATTTCATTTTGCCTTTTTCCATTATAATAGCTTGGCTTAATGGCATATTTCATTCAATTTCATCATCAATCCATATGTAAAGTCATTTTTCTATCTCCTCTAACATATTATTTCAAGAATGGGTTATTCAAGTTAGAGAGGTTTTTTAGTTGTAATGGCTAATGATAGTATTTTTCTTTATTCTTGAGAATTGTCCTTATTGTTGAAGTTGACAAGCTCAATGCAACAGAGTTTGACGTTCACCACTATATAATCTTCTAAGCACTTGTATTTTAATTTCTAGTGAAATACCTTTTTCTTATTGCTTTATTTTTGTGTTTCTTAATATCACCCATATTAAAAACTAAAATTTATAATATTTATCACTATATCAATCATTACATTGCATAAATTTACACTTAGAATAACAGCAGCAAATGTTTGAAATAATAAAAATACATTTGTGTAACACTATAGAGAAGAAGTGCAGATAAACTACTTTCAATTTCTGGGAAGCCAAATGCTGGGCACAATTTTCAGGGAATCCCGCTATTCCAAAAAAAACTTGTTAAACCGAAACAGTGCTAAACGGATCTGCATTAAATGGGGTCTTACTGTGCACATATATGCACCTACATACATATACAAGTGCATACATATACAAGTGCATACATATATATTGTTACGAAATGTACAGGCACGGTAAGATGGCCCCGCAAAGCAGTTTTAGGGTTGCTATAAAAGGACAAGGGAAAGCAGGGTTGCCGTATTTGGCAAGAAATCGCTCATCTGGCGACAAAATTGGCGATGTGTCATGGACGGATGGAGAACCCTCCATGACACCGGTTTCCTTACCGGTTTAGCCCAGAATGTTCACGAACACAAGCCGAAAGAGTTAATCTTCGGATTATGGTAACTTGGTGATTATTTGACGACCAACCCTGCTACAGCGCAACCTGCTAGTTTTTTTTTTTTTTTTTCTTGTTTTGTTTTTTTGACACCATTTTGTTTTTACGAAGTAAAGGCATTTTTTTTTTTTTTTTTATTCAAAATTTTTTCCAACAATCTGCTAGCCGAATTAGTCTTATGCTAGAACTTTTATGGAACAAAAGTGCTTAATCATGATGAAGATTAGGTGCGAAATTGGGAGAAAGTGCAGAATCGCTCACTGCTTGCCGCGTTTTTAAGAAGTGCACATACACGGTATCCATGTACACGTCGACCTATTTTCCTTAAAAAAACATCCCAGAATTGCACAAAAATGGCATTGCGCACACTCGACTTTATCCATGTACACTGCTAAAGTCTTAGCTAGTAACCTTTATCGCCTTACCAAAATGTCGCCAAACTACCTGTTACCATATTCCAAAGATTAGCCGCCGAAAGCTATATAAACCCTGCTGGTCCGCAGTCAGTTAGTGTGTGTGTGTGTCTCAGAGTATGTGCCTCGTCTAGCAAGCTGATAGTCAGTCATTGAACGAGTGTCCTGAAGTCTAGTGCAGAGTTGGTCGTCAAATCCATCGAAGAGTCACTTAGTGTATCGCAACTAGCGCATCGTTGGGAGAGTGTGTTAAGCTCCAGGAGCGACTGAACCGAAGAGTCAGGAGCTGTGCTCTGTGTGTCGTTGAGTGCATTGGGAGTTGTAGCATGGAGAGTCTCGAGAGTATATGGAGTTCCGAGAACGACTGAGCAGAGAGCACCAGAGCTGTACTCTGGTGCTTTGCAGTGAAGCTGTCTCCACCGTCATTGCCTGACAGTGTGAAGGCTGTGTCGTTGATTGTGTCAGCGTGTTTATAGTAGCTCTTTGATGACTGTAACGTGATTTTGGAGCTGTCCTCATTAATATTGGCTAAATAAAAGTGTGTTTTGATATTTCATCAAGTAGTGTCATCGTTATTCACTCCAAATCCATATGAACCCGTACGAACGAGAAGGAAGAAAATAACGTAACAACTGGTGTCAAAAGAAAAGTAGAGAAAAACTTAACAATATATTCCTTAATCCAGTCCCAATAATGAAAGAGTGCCAACTGAAAATTTTAAGAAACTGTTTATTACCTTTTTTGATACATTTTGACAATCCATAACTTTGGTTTCAGCTTTCATAATCAATGCATGTACATAACATAGAAGTGTTTAAGTATATGTGAATGAAAAAAGTGTAAAATTTACATGCTTTATATTTAATAATAATTTCGTAACCCCTGGCTGTAAATGTTAATATTGACAATACAATTTTTTTTTAGTAAAATGTGTCCTTTTATTAATATTTGTGAACAGAACAATACTTGTGGGACATTACAATAGCCACATTGTTTTTCTCTGATTTACAAAGTTGGGAAGGAGTTGGAAATTCTTCATGGGGTGCTGGTTATCAGAAAGTATCTCCGTTTTCATGTTATGTGTAACAACCGAATTATGAGTCAGAATCGAGTTTAGCTATTGTTATTTTTATACCTGTTCATCTTCTCTTTCACCAAAAGTACATTTTCTAGTTAAGAAGAGTTAAAATGAGAACTGAATCCATTACTAGATTGTTTTATGTATCATATTTCATCAAGCTGTAAGTTTAATATATCTGCTGATTATCATTTGTCTAAAAAATTATTTCCCTCTCTATGTGCTTAAATCTTTGAAATGATAAATTGGTAAGAATAAGCATTAAGAAATAATTTTAAAGTTTTAATTTAAATCACAATTTTTTATAAATTATGATTTTTTTCCTCCAATGGCTCTCTTCACTTGCTAAAAAGGTTTATTGGAATGGTCAAACCCATTAGCCATTTAGTTATCTCTGTATCAAAAATATTGCCTAGAGAGCACCACAGAAAGTAGACCGTATTCCTATATTCCCCCAAGGAGAAAGGGAGAGGAAAACTAGCATACAGTCAAACCTGTATAACACATAACCTTGGTTTTGATCTAGCAACTCCATTAACTAGTATATCAGGCAGGGTGGCCTGTTGTGTAAAGTAGATGATACTGACAGCAACAATAATGCATAATTAGGTTATAATTATATTAGATAATAAGCTGGGTTCTTAAAATTTTAGAGTGTAATTAGAACACAGCTGCATAATTTTGATAAATGTTTACTCATTAGAAATAGTTACTCATTAGAAGTTCTTGAATCAGAATATTTTTAAAATAAGATTTATGAGAAGTTATGTTAATAAGTTGAGAAAGAAGAAACACAGATCACTAGTGCGAAGTTAAAATGCCAGGTCTGATAAATGTAGATGATTAATAGAAGTTACTCCACTTTAAAAAATTGATAAAAATGCTACAAGTCATTAGTAATTTAACATATGATAAGAAAAAAGTGTCATGATATGTTTAATATGATATGTTTAATACAGGACATAAATATTTCATTCAAAGATGCCATGTAAAATTTAATACGTTGCATTTTAATATAGTCATGGGCTGTGCATGATATTTAGTGAAATATTCATGCTACATTGTCTGTCACTGAAATAAATAACCATATATCATTGCCAAGTTGCTATGGTAGTTGTTTGCTTTGATTGTCTCAAAGTATTAGATTAAATCAGATTACTCAAATATGGCAAAGCATGCAACAACTATCTGCTTAAGAAGAATTATGAAGACTTTCTTAGGGAAACTGGCTTATATTTTACATTACACATGGAGAATACCAGGTCAAATTTCCAGTATTCAGCAGTTTTAACTGCTTGGCCACTGGGACCTAGAAGGACTAGTTGTAAACATTCATTTGTAAATTGTAATAAGTATCATGTATGGACAGGAATAAATATAAGAAATTAACTCAATTTTTCCTGACGTTTGGTGAGTACATGTAATACTAACTTCATAACATGTAATACTTCATGTAATGTTAAGATATACCTTGCAAAATTAATGGTGGTAAAGGACATGCCAATGGCCGAGTGGTAAAGTCACTGAACATTGGTAGCTCGGTCTTGAATTCAAATCTGGTAACAGGCCGAATGCATGGGCGTTTTTATGGTTTTTCCCAATTATAATGTGTATACAAGCCAGTTTCCCTTAGAAAGTCCTACACGAAGGCATCCCTACCCTGAGGCAGATAACTTTCAAGTACTTAGTCATAATCAAATAAATCAAACCAAAATCATGACAGTAAAGAAACAGTTAAGATCAAGCATAATCTTCATAGCCCTTGATATCCTCTTTTTAAATTAATGATGTATTTTGTTACACTGCCTAGCTTATTTGGGACAGAGTTTTGAATATTTTGAAAGATACTTGATCTTCAAAGTCTTAGATTTCAATTACAGTAAAATTTTAGTTACTTTAACATCTATATTTGAACAAAATGCTAAAATTTAGAATGTTAGTTTTTAAAAGTGCTCAGTGTATAGTCATTTTCAGTGTTATGGAAGCATAATAATATTTGCAAACTTTCACTGGTTTTATCATATTTAAGTCTGTGTTATTGCAGCTTAGTCATGTGAGCATCAGAAATAACTGTTAGTATTCACATAATTAAATGGTTGCACAGAATTTTTGTGTGCACCAACATTAGAGCATGAATCTGTTAAATTACAATGGCAAATTTAAAGAGACCCACACATCTGGACTTTTGAAGTCCCTTATCTTAAGCAGAGGATATAAACTAAGCCATGATTTGGAGGCCTTTTTAAATAATGGACCTCCCTTGATTGCAAATTCAAGATGCTATAAATCTACCTTGGTGAACTGCAATGAAGTTGATATCTCATTTCCAGATTTTCTTTGTTTATATTGGGTTGTTCGGAAAGTAATTTCGTTTTTTCCCGTCAGAGGACTTAATTACATTTTTTCGAAACCAACTTCACACTAGCCAAACCATTATATGTTGAGAGCTGATATTACAAGGCTTGTGTGAACAAGTTCATTATCTACGCGGAGTTTTGGTTGGTCCCCTTTTTAATTGGAGAGCAATAAGCAGCATTTTTCGTCATATTTTACTTTTTACTTCAGAAAAGGTAAAATGCTGTCCAAGCGAGAAAAAAAAACATCGATGGATGTGATGGAGAAGGCATGTTAACAGTACGCCCAGTGCCAGAACTGGTTTGCAAAGTTCGATCGCAATTTGAGTGTCGAAGATGCAACCACGTCTGGAGGCCGGTCGAACTGACAAGATGCAATAAAGGCTTAGTTGATGCAAATCGGCGAATAACCCCGAGAGAGCGTAGAGGTTAATTTGTCGAATTTGACTGTTTATGGCCACTTAAGGCCTGGGCTTAACCCTCGAAGCTCGATGTGTGGGCGCCCCATGTTCTTATGGAGCGAAATTGTGCGTCGCGTTGAGTGTGTGTTCGCTCCTCAAACGTCAGAAATGATCCCTTTTTGAAGCGGATTATTACTCGGGACGAAAAATGGGTTGTATACCCAATGTGAACGCAGGAGGTCATGGAGCAGAAAAGATACCAGCTCAAAGCGTTTCAAAGCCAACATTCACCAAAAAAAGGTGATGCTGTCCGTTGGTGGATTTCAAAAGGACTCGTTTTTTTTTTTTTTTTTTTTTAGCTTTTACCGGACAATCAACCATTAATTCGGAAGTCTTGTCATCAGCTGGACAAATTGATGATGCACTTAAACAGAAGAGGCCAAATTAATTAACAGAAGGGTGTAGTGTTTCCACCGGATAATATACATATAAGTTTTGGTCACGCGCTAAAAGCTTTTACAGCTTGAATGGGACATACTGCAACCCCACCATATTAATCCAGATCTGACGCCTTCCGATTGTATTTGTTCCCCGGTCTCCTGCAAATGTTTTTGGATGGTAAACTTTTACCCATTTACCTCATGAAGATGTCAAAAACCACCTGAATCTTTTTTTTTTGCCAGCAGGACCAAACTTTTATGAGCAGGATCATGTTACTTCCAGAAAATGGCAAAAGGTGTTGGACCAGAAGGCCAATATATAATTTAATAAAATATTTATTCATTATACGAAAATTGTCTTTCGTGTCCCCCCCCCAAAAAAAAAACGAAATTACTTTCCGAACAACCCAATACAATTTTTATATATAACATGTATTTTAGAATATCTAAGTCTTTTTACTGTACAATTATTATTCTATAGATTTTACCTTAGTGAAATGATGTTTTGATTTTTCAGTATGCGTAAGATGCTTGAGCACAGGAGCATCACTGATGAAGAGCGTATGGATGCCCTGGAAGATCAGCTCAAGGAAGCTAGGCTGATGGCTGAGGAAGCTGACCGCAAATATGATGAGGTGACTGAGAATTCATATTGAGCATGGTGTTCATTTACATATTGTGTTCAACACTAATTGCCACCACCAGGAATGAAACCTGCTCCACTCTTGCACACTGTTATTACTTGCTTTTGCATGCAATTTGTCATCTGAAGAATTAAGCCTCTGATACTCAGGTGTGCATTACCTGCTGAAAAAACATGGTATGCTGAAATGGTAAAGGGTCTGACTGTTCAGCAAATGATGCTGTTGGATGAAATAGTGGTGCACGACCACTAAATTTATTTTCTATATGAGGAATAAACACAAGATTGTTGATTTATGATCTTGCTAATAAATAAGGATTAGCTCACAAACTTTGGTGACTATCTCATCAAAAATGCAGTTCCATTGGGACGCAGAGAGTCAAGTTGCATTGATTTTTGTTTGGAACTCTAACTTTGCTTTCATTGTATTATTTTGCATGATGAAATTCTGACTGTATGAAACTCACCTTATAGTCACTCTGTTAGACTTTTTGTTGAAATCTATTTTGATTTTCCTTAAATTAAGCCTTTTTACTATTAATGAAAATTTTAATATTCTTATTTAATTTTTTCAAAATCATGTGATTTTTCATTATTTTGCTAGTGTGGGTTTAGAATGTTTTAATTTCTTTCATTACTTATCTTGCATTAAATATTCCTAATTTGTATGCCATTAGAGCTTATTTTGTGATTTTTAAATGCTTATCAAATTTTAGATTATATTGGAGATCATATAAGTGTTTTGACACATTGTATTGTGCCTTTTATAAAGCTCTTTGAAAAAGACAATTTTTAAAATATAAATCAAAATTCATATATATTAACTTTTATGAAATCAAATGTAATCGGTTTGAAAAGTAATTCACTAATTAGTTTAAACTGAGATAAATGTTATATAAATTTGTAAAATGAAGAGCCCAAAATAAATTATAACATATTTAATAATGCTGTTGTTCTACTAACTGCATGTTTTAATGAGTTTTAAAAATTCATATTAATGTTTTCGTTTTAAGATAAACACATTTTTTATTAAAAAATTAAATGGTAAAACAAATTTAATATTTTTTTAATCTGTTCTGTCTAGTTTTCTTTTTTATGCTATGAAAAAATAATTTAGACCTTTTAAACTTTTTTCTTACAATGATTATTTTTCACTGAATTACTGGAATAGCATTATGAAAAGTAAAACATTTTAAGGTACTTGACAAGAAATGCAAAATGTGAACGGATTATAACATGGAAGTACGAATATAAACTATTCTAAGTTTTTATTATAGTGTTAAATTTTAACCTGTTAGGTTAGATATAGTTTATTTAGTTAGATAGATGTGCTAGTGTAGTACATAATTTCATATCACTATTAAAAGCTATTGATATATATTTGAATTTGTGAGTTTTGTTGCCATAACCTAAATGAAATTTGCTTTTGTGAAAGATTTAACTTACTGTTATTGATTATTAATAAAGAGTTTTTTTAAATATACTTCATGAAATCTTTGATTTGTGTGTTCAGTAAATTATTATTAGACATAAGAAAAAAAGAGTTGTGCTCAAAATATAATATGCTTAAATATATATTTAAAATCTTGGTTTTTTTGTCATTTGATTCATCTGCAAATTTAAAGTACTAAAGTTTTTAAGTACTGTTGTGTCATTCTAAACATTTCATAGTACTAATTAAAACATAATTTATTAATAAATTTATTAACAGAAACTCTACATTAAATTTAAGTGTGGGATAGTTTCTAAATGTCCATTTGTTCTGAAAACAAATTTTACATAAATCCTCATAGCCATAGCTTAACAATACATGTAGCTGATACACAGCGTGCTTAATTTTGTAAAATTTTCTACACTGTTTAATTTTCAATGTAGTTTTAATGGATTTTGTAAGAAAAGGAATTTTTTATATGTTGTTCATGAGAGCAGCTGTTTTAAATGACACAGAGAATGTAACTCTTATGTAAAGTTATTATATTGCAATTAAATTTCATAATTCTTAACTCTACTTGACTTCTAAAATTCCTCAGGTTGCCCGTAAGTTGGCCATGGTTGAAGCTGATTTAGAACGTGCTGAAGAGCGTGCTGAGACTGGTGAGAAGTAAGTTGTGATATTGCCTGTTTTGATATGTGTGTATATCTTTATTGTGATGTTACTTTGATGAGATCAAGATGTTTTTGTTAATCCTTATTCTTTCACACTTTAAAGTCTGTAATTATTCATATTAGCTGTGCGTTTTGTGATGAGCGATATGAATATACATACTGAAGGTGAAAATTGGTTCACATATATCTTATCATAATTGTAAATAATGCAGCTTTAGATTGTGTGTAAGTGATGATTACTTGTTGTGAAAAAATAGCATTTTATAATCACTTTATATATTAATATTACCAAAAACTGCCTGTAATAAACATGAAATATCCTACTGTTAACTTGTTTTATTAAAAATTATTATATTCTTAGAGATTTACTGCAAATGAAAATGCAAACCATTCTAAGAAAACCTTGACTGAAATTTGGTGATGAAATGTACCCTTGAACTCCTGTGGGATTCAGATCGTGTGGTCAGGAAAAAAAAAAAAAAAAAAAAAAACTTGCACAAATTTATAGAATAGGAAGTTTTAATTGAAATTTTTATTACCTAGATAATTGAAAAGCTCACAATTTTAAGCATAACAGATCTATAGAGATTGATACTACTTAATTTAACGTGACTAATTAGTTAAGATTACAAGAAATAGTATGCTGCCAGAAGATATAATGAGAATGTTCAGATATAAATTTGTAGTGAAAATAAGATGAGTAATTTTAATGATATATAATAAGTTATTCAGCATTTGCTATTTTACTGTTTATTAGGAATTTTGTCTGTTAAATACAGATCATATAAGTTATCATTAAGAAAGTTATAAATTTCTAATTTTCATACTTATTTAATGTAAATAGAATTAAATATAGATGTTAAGTAAATTTAAATATATTGTTAAATAATCAGGAAAGCTATGCATCTCTAGTTTCCTTTACCTTCTATTAATTAAAAATCAGTAATTATAAAAATGTGAAAATAATGCTGTCAGAAAACATAATATGTTAATAAAGTTAAAAAAGGAATTTGGATGAAAACTCAATGACTAATGATAATAATACATAACAGATTATTCACCCCTTTATGATTTTTCTCTGGTATATTTAATAATTCTAATAAAATATGCATAAGTAATTAGACTAATTATAGATCATTAGCTTGTACTTGAAATAATTAATTGTTTAAGCTAAGTTTCATCATTTTCAAAATGACATAGTACTACTCTAAACAGAAATATGCACAACTCTTGAAAACAAGATCCACTTATAATGCATCTTGATTTTTTTGTAATTCATAAATGCTGTTTATTGGTTAGATATGTGTCCTTATTATTTGTTTTTACTTTATTGCTTGCTCAGTGGGATTAGTTAAACTTGGATATTAAGTAGTATCTTTCAAAAGGTAAGTGGTTAAAGTTCTATATGAAATTTGTGATGTAGAAATAAAATTTTTGCACATCACTGTTATTTGCTTTATAGCTTAATTTAAAATAAAACTAGTGTATATTGAAGGGAAGTTTATTCAACATTTTTATAACTGCATATATAAGGGGGGAAATAGTTAAATATAAATAGTAAAGATATAAGATTTGTGTAATGTATACTGTTTTTAACAGAAATGAGTGTTGGTATCAGCTTAGTTGGATTTTTGGATAAATTGCATTTCTTGAGATTGATAATCTGTATGTCAGATTTTTTTTTAATTTTTAAGTACAGGATTTAAGAGGATAATGACCGCACAGTTTTAAATTATATATTAAAATCCATATAGTTTTATTCATGATACTATTGTAATGTTTTGAAATTAAACATAATTATCTTGTGCAATCCATTGTACTACACATGTAAACATAATTTTAATGTTTAAATTATATAAGAGTAATAATTAAGTATTGAATGGTTTGGACAAAATTTATTTTAATAGTTATTAAAAAATAAAAAAGGGCTGTTTCATTTACCTTCAGATTTTAGCTATGAAAACTGAGAAATAAGGACTTTTACATTAAAATACAAAATGTAATTTATTATGTTTGTTTTAACATTATTTTTTTAACATTTAATATGAATTGCTGGAGTTCCTTTAATTCTAAGATATAAGCCAGCACTTCTTAAACTTTTTTTACCCTTTTTTATCATTGAAATTTCTTCAGGCTACCAGATATTAAATGTAAAATAAAGATGCAGAAATAAATATTTTCCCCAAAATAATTTTTATTTATTTATTTATTTATTTTGTAAGCAACATACATATGATAAAAAGTAGTTTTAGGATTTGTTTCAAGCAACAAAAATTAATGAAAGAAAATCATGTTTTAATGAGATGAATGTGCTTGAATTTTGCTGCATAACAAATTAAATTTTGGAGCAATATTTGATACTGCTGGATGTGATCCATTTTCAGTGTTTTTGAGTGATAAACAATATTTGGATTTAAGCGTTAAAGCTGGAGAAGGTTATTTCACATAAATATGTGATGCTGGATGGCAGAACATTATATGCCATTTCAGAAACTGTAAGAAATTCAGTTCTAACTCCAATCCATAAGTTTGTCAGTGATTTTTGTGGAAACGCAAGTTTTCAGTTACTGGATACACAATAAATTCTTCTTGAGATTTATATGGCAGATGATTAATCTCACTGTCAATTAAAAATGATTTTTGACTCTGATGGCTTTTTCAAATTAATTTGAAGTTTCAATATGAAGTAATTGCAAATAGGTGTTTTTAAGGTTTTTAAGTGATCTTTAATAATGTTTCTGATTAAAAAGTAGAGTAATAAAGTTGATAAAATTATTTATTCATAATTTCATAGGTGATAATGTTGTTTAACAAAGCAATTTTCCAAATTTCATCACCATATTTAATACTTTCTTGAAGTATTTTTACCATTTTAACAGTAGTAATACAAGATCTTCTCGAATGGTGCACAGCTTTTTATTTTTAGCAATAAAATATGAAACTTTGTATGCTACAAGTAAACATTTTTCATTAACAGTCATAAATTTTTCTACTGTATTTTTATTATAAGAAGATTTTTAACAGTTATTCAAAATATTTTGGTTTATCGATATGAGAAAGTTGCTTAGATTCAATATGCTCTTTTAATTTTATTGTTTCTTACTCTCATAGTCAAAATGTTACTGCAAATTAAACAAAGAGATTATTTATTACCATCAGAGTTGTTGAAATCAAGGCCAAACTGGAGACATGTCTCGTCATATTTCTTTTTATGTTAGATGTCTCTTTCCAATTAGTAAATCTAGCTTGAAAAGATTTTATAGAATTGCCATCTAAGTCATTATTCTTGTTACTCAAGGTCAACCATTTGTTCATGGGGAAAAAAGTATTTTCATCCTAAAATATAAATAAAATAACATTTCTCTTAATAATTATTCAAATAAATACCAACCATATGCGAGTGAAACAGTAAAATACAACATTGTATTATTTTGTAATGTACATACTTACAGTCATGAAACAAAAACAACTGACTATACTGGAAAAACCTTATCTCTTTATTAGTTGCAGCAGCATTAACCTTGTTCTTGGGTGCCTGTGTGGTGCAGGATGTTTAATACTGTGTGTTTACGGCATATTTTGTATTGAAACTGCAATGGAACACCACTATTATGATGTGCTTAGTGATATTTTTTCAATAAGTAAATACAATTTACAGCTCAACTTGGCCAGTATTATGATTTTATAATTGCACCGTGCAAAAATTGTAATATATAAATGAAAGATAATGAAGGAATTGGAACTTATGTTTCCTTGAATTCATGTATGTGAATTAAAATTTTTTGACTCCCAACATTTCGCTTTGCAACCCTATTTGGAGCTATAACTCACAATTTAAGAAATGCTGATATAAGCACATGTTAACCTAAGAAGTGAACTTGGTCTTGCTAATACTTTTATTTATTTTGGTATAAATGCCACTTCTAGGCATTTCTTTATAATGTTGATCATGTCTGAGATACGTTTATCAGATTACTGTTGTTTTTACCCCCTCAAAATTTTCTATTAAATTGTCCTGGACATAAATACAAAATATATATGTAAATTAAAATCTGTAGAATAATAAACTTAATGAACTTGCTTGTCTCATATGATGCAATCAAAGAAATGCTATTTGCAACTCTAAAATTCAGGCTAAAATCAAATAACTTTAAAATAATATTACATTAATTAAGTCTAAAATGACCAACAATAAAAAATATTTGAATTTACTTCCTTTAAAGACATGTATTAGTAATTCCAGAAGATGTCATTTAATCATTCTGAATCTAAAAACAAATCAGTTCTAGCAATTAAAAATTAATTAATAAATCAAACTTATACATCATTAATTTCCTTAAGCTTAAATTCAAATAACCATTTAAGCTATAAGGAATTTCTCCCACCTTCTTAGCATGCCTTTGTCGTGTGGTGGTCTGCATGCTGGGCACAAATTCCAAAGGTCCACGGTTCGATTCCCAGCAAAGGTGTTGCTAATTTCTCATCTTTCCTGCTTCCAAAAAATACCTAATATCTCTGCAGTAGCGCCCGAACTAAAAGAGTGTTGGGTGATGATTCTTTACACCCAGGATTTGGCGATTGGGTCCCCTAAAACCCCAGTCGGCCTTTAAAAGAGGGAGTATATAAGGTATTTCTCTCACCTTCTTGACATGCCTTCATGGTGTTGTGGTCTGCACGCTGGGCACGTATTCCAGAGGTCCACGGTTTGATTCCTGGCGAAGGCATTGCTAATTTTTCATTTTGCATGCTTCCAAAAATTACCTGATATCTCTAATCAAATAATTTTAGCTTAAAATCAAATAATAATAATAATAAAATCAAATAATAATAAGCTTAAAATCAAATAATTTTAAAAATAATGTTGCATTAATTAAGCCTATAATGACCAACAGTAAAAGATATTTGAATTTACTTCCTTAAAAGACATGTATTGTCCAGAAGATGTCATTTGATCATTGTGAATTTTAAAACAAATGATGTCTAGCAATTAAGAACTAATTAATAAATCAAACCTATACATCATTAAATTATTTCTTTCTAGATGAGTAATTACATTGTTCTATGTTGAAAAATTAGTATTTAACATTTTATACCTTCACTATTTGCACATCATTTAATAATGGTTGCCATAATTGCTGAAATTATTTTATAATGTTGGAAGCTGTATTATCTCATATATTTTGTCTTAAACACAATTAAGGAATAATTATAAATTTTCTTTAAATAGAATATTTTCTTTGGCATTATGCTTAATATCAAAAGCATTAAAATCAAATGTCTTGATGTGTATCCTCGTTTTATAATGAATTAGTCTTCGCACATTCTGCATTTTTACTAGCTATAAAATAAGAATTTTAGTGCAAGTCCTAGCTGACCTCTTTAAAAGATGCTTTAGGTAAAAGCATCTTTTAAAAGTTAATTTTAAAGTGATTCACAAAACAGAACATTTTTAAATTAATCTAACAAATTTATTTTGTTTAAATTTGGATATTTTGTGAATCTGAAAATTTTGAATGGGCAGTATCAGTTTATATACCTTGAAGTATATTTTACTATACCTATCGAAATAATTGTTGACTTGCGTTATTACTACTTATTTTAAAACCATTACACATGTGTGTTATATAAATGTTGATTTTTAAATATCATAATGGAGAGAAAATAAATATAAAATCTAATATGTCAGGGTTTATATAAATTTTTTAAATAATTATTTTGTGCTTTTTAAGTGAAGATTATTGTGGAGTAAATCTTTAACTAATTTTTCAGCAAAATCGTAGAGCTTGAGGAAGAGTTGAGAGTTGTTGGTAACAATCTGAAATCTCTGGAAGTCAGTGAGGAGAAGGTAAAAAAGGATAACTGGATGATGTGTTTTTTGAACTTATTTTGTTTTTGTTTTGTTTACTTTTTATATGGTCAGCAGCCAAAATTTTTGAACAACTTTTTTGCAAGAAGTGCATGCTATTTTTAAACATGAATCAATAATTTTTTAGCAAACGGATTTTTCTCACATTTTGAAATATTTTTGCGCTTTTGCTTGCATGTTGAATATGGCAAATTTTAATTTTGCTGCTTACTTTTTACAGAAATTTTTGTAATCCCACCAATTTTATGCAGAGTTTTTTTTTTTTTTTTTTTTTTGATTGAATTAAAAAAATTTTTGAGAAATAATGTTCTGCAGTGTGGATATAAAGTGACAGATCTTGACTTTATGGTAGTGGAATTAACATGCAATAATTAATAACAAATCATTGTTTATGAATTTTGTTCACAAAGTTGTATCTTTTATCAGATTTTCATAATTATATTGTAAAATAACTTAATAATAAAGAAAACATTAAACCAAATAAAATTTTAACGCTGTAATACAGTAAAACTTTGTATTACAGTATAAATAAGAAATACAGTAAAACATTGTTAACTAGAAATTATTCATAATTCTGTAATTTGAAATGAGTACTTTCTCCAAATAAAATGTTTTACAAATTAATGTTAACTTTTTTCAATAATTTGAATTTCTTTAATTCAAATAATTTAATATAGCAAACATTTTTTAACAACACTAAATTTTATTATCTTCAGTATTGTTTGTTTTGTTTTTTCCTTTTGATGAACAGCATTCAGTTATTATTCACAGTCTACATAGATCATGTTACAAATCTTCTTTACAGGGTATGTAAATGTGGGTAAAATATAATTTTGTTGCCTTTTGAGTCATTTCTCACCTTCACAAATACCTATGCTTTTAAGAAGATTTAAAATGTACTGTAACATAATTTATTTTAGAAATGTAATTTATATTTTTATTTAAAATAAACCTAAATTCTAGCATGCTATTTTTTTTATTCTGCTTTTTTAAAGTATTAAATAATTTTCTTTGTAAAATCAAAAGACAGGTTCTTTAAATTGCCAATGTTATTACACTATTATATTAATATGTTCATTTAATATTTTTACATTTGAATGGAAAAAGAATTAGCATCAAGTACTGGGAACACTTTTTATGTTTTCATGTGCATTCTAAATATTTTTCCATCAGAATCATATGCCACTGCCAATTTACATAATTCTTTTCTAGTGTAAATATACATTTTAAATCCAAGTTTCTTTGTTTTAATAAAATTTTTATATATAAAAACAGCTTTCATTATTGATATACACAATTATAATTTGTCTTGCTTTTTTAAATATATGTGTACTTACGCATCCTAGATAGAATCCTAAGCATTTTTAATATTTGCCAGGAGTTTCTTTAGCTGAAATTGTATTTACTATTATTCTAAAATATTTTTCACACTTTCTTCATTTTTCAAAATTTGACTAGTTTATGTAGATTAGTAAACACCATTTTATCTCTGGCTATGTACATATATTTAATAAACAGTTGGATATTTTGATGCAACCAATAGAGACTTATTAGATTGCTTGACATCAAGCGTACAGATTTAATGGGTTAAAAATAGTTGAAAAGAAAATGGTATATGTTGTTCAGGAACATTAGTGCCCCCCCGGCCAAGTAACCTTGCAAAGGAAACTTTGCTAACAAATTACTTCTTTTCTAATAAAATGCCAAAAAAATTGAGGGATTTATACTGTCAGATTTTTAAATTAAGTTAATTTAGCACAAAATGATAGATGTTGTAATCTGCTTAAATTGTAAAATTCTGGATAAATTTGTAATAATAGAAATTGTATGAAATATGCTTAATATATATGCTATATCAGATATTTCATACAATTAATAAAAGGATCTATCTATAATTAAGAAGATACTGTGTTAATTTTTTTAAATTGGTAATACACTTGAAATAAATCACTAAAGCTATAATATTTTCCTGTAAAATTTTTCCACTGCATTAATTTCTCAGGAATTGAAAATTTAAATGATTTAAATGTGGGTATATAATCCCGTTTATATTAAAATGTTTTTTTATTATTATGAATCCTTAAAAATAGATAATAATAATAATTAAGAACTAAAATTCTTTAATTGATGAAGTTAATTATATGCAAAATCTAATTGAAAAAAATATTATTATGCAAATGTTATTTATTATATTGTACTTATTGTTTTTATGTACTACACATATCTTACTTTTACTATTATTTTCTGAGATTAATTTTTTAATGCATGCATATCTCATAAGGAAAAACTCCTTCCAGGTTTTGAGTTGAAAACTAGAATGCTTAAAACTGCAGAGTAATTCCATTTATGCAATTAGCCAAATTCATTTCAATAAGTCAAGATCTGTTCTTTTTTGCAGCATATTTCTAATATGTTTGTGCATTCACACTTTTTCTACTATCACAATATTGTTTGATATTGATGTTAAAAATTTTTAATTTTTCAGATGATTTCAGTTATATGTATTTAAGGTGCACATAGTAAAATCAATTTTTAACATCCTTTTAGATATTTATTTTGTTATTGCATTTACAGTAAATAATAATTTTTATTTTATTTTAAAATAAAATCCATTTTTTATATTTTTCACTCTCTTTTTTTTTTTTTGGTTTATTTTTCCTTTTTTTAAAATTTCATTAGTTTTTAATTTTATTAAAAAATAATTAAAACTTTTTATCTGCCTTTCCTTTGTTAATATTTATTAATGTAAGAAAAAAGATTTTATCTTATTCAGTTTTCCTGTGAAAACAGCACTGAATTATTTAATCCCTTGCAAATAAAGATAAGAATAAAATTTTGAACAATTTCCTTAATAATAAGTGTTTATAATACATTTTATTTTAAAAGTTAATTTGATTATATTATAAAGTTAATAAGGATTTAATTTATTAAACATATGTTTTTATTTATAAATTACATTATACTTTTGTTTGAAATCATCTGAATGTAATATTATTTGTGAATTGATATGAATTTAAAGTATGTTATTGCATTTTTAAAATTTATTTATATGATTGGATGTTTCATAAACCTTCTTCATCTTCAGAAATTTGAGGAAAGGGGAAGTAAATATAAATTTCTAATTAATTTAGGTGGGAGGTTTTAATAATGCTTACTATATTGCATAACAGCGTATAAAGTTGGCCAGTGCATTGCTGCTTCCTAACAGAGGTGGATTTACTTTTAATTAATTATTATGTAACTACATTAAATTTCTTTTTTTGTAGCAGTTCATGAATTCTGGAATTTAATTGAGGTACTTCTTAATTATTTCTGCTACTCTATGTACAGCAAGAAAATTGAGGGAAAACAGTTTGGTAATATCAAATGTAATTTGGGAAGTGTCAGCTGAAAATTATTATAGTAAAATTTACAATTTTGTAAATTTGCATTGCATTATTTTTTAAATAAAATATGAAATATAGTCATTGAAAAGATTGCATCATATAGCCTGTGAAATTATATTAGTATTTTTTAAGATCACATAATTAGTCAAACGGGTGGAAAGTAACTAAACTGAAATTTTAGGAATGCATTGGTTTTATCACATTAATTGTAATGTAAATTTCAAGTTCCGTGTGGTATTTTGATTAGTTATGGGTTTTAGTTTGAGTTGCTATTTAAATCCACCACTGCTTTAAATATAACATTCATTTCAGTGTGCAGTCTGTGTTCCTAACCTGCATATGAGCCTTTGTTTTCTTACTAACAATAGCTTGTATTCTTTTCTGTCTCCTGTAGCACCTGTTTTACTCATAATTTGCAGCAATATTAGTTTTATTATCACCCTTGTATATATATAGCTCTCTTTAGTAGTTAGAATCATGTTTTTTTTTTTTTTTTTTTTTTTTCTTTCATTGTGCAGCAGTAAATATTGTTAGTTTACCTAGTATTTTAACTGCTGCTGCCCATATCCTCTGTCTAAAATGCCAGGCTTATAAATATATATTTTGTTTTTGATGGAACAAAACTAATACATCCAGAAGTCATACTCTAAGTTTCATAGAAAAACTGCCTGAAATTGTAATTAAAATATCTATTTATAATTATAGGAGTTAAATTTTAAACGTTGTTTTAGTAGTTATTTTTTTTTATTTTTGGATCAAAACATTTCTCAGTACTAAAAAGGTTTATTCGTTTTTATTAGCAAACATCTGTTCCACTAATATCTATAGTATATTGAAGCTAAAAAACACTGCAGTAGACTTCTTTATTTATGTAATTCTGAATAACTAATAATAAGCTTATGATGTTTATGTTTATTGGTTGTGTCCCATGTATTTTAAAGGTCATACAATATGCCCTCTCCCATATATATTTGAACCATTTAATACTATATCCTGATATAAAATTTGAAAATTTCTTTTTTATTTAAGTCTGTGAATAAATTTTCTGAACTATCAGGAATTTTTAATTAAAGCTTGGAATTTTAACCTTGGGTTGTATAGGAAATCAGCAAGCATTTTGTTGCTAAAGTCCTTGGATATTGAAGCATAGATTTATTTTTGTTTTGCTTATTTGAATTAGGATGGCATTTATATTGTATCCTTCTGAAGAGATGAGATGAATATATGCACAGTGAATTTAATTCATTTTTGAACATTTAAAATTTTATTAAATGTGTGTATTTTCTGTCTCATATTGCATTCAGATAATGATATAGCTAATCATTCTCTATTTTGCAGTTGAATTGTTTGATTTGTTGAAGGTTGAGATATTCATTTCTTTTCTATAGTTTCTGCATATTTTGAAAATGCCACTTCTTTTCATTTATACACCATAATGTGATTATTTTTTCACCATAATGTGATTATTATTATTTATACACCATAATGTGATTATTGTTTTCTGTAATTCAAGATTTTGCATTAACAGACCACAATGGTATCATTTTGTTATCTTATTTGCAATCGTGTAACTATTTTCCAAATGGATACCGTCGTATCATATTGCTTTTCCCAGTGTGCAGTGATAATTTGTGAATTACCTGTAATTGTAAATTTTTATAAAGTTGTCTTTTTTCCCAGTTTTGTAGAGGGTGATTATAACACATATCATACAGTTAAATCCATGTGAAATAT